CAGCAAACGGACATCCTTCCTCAGCCGAACGAACTTCCAAGGGAACCAAGGCCTGAGGACAGTTGGCTCCAATCAGCAATCCGATGTCGACATCCACACGTTCTGCAACAACCTCCTGCAGATGCGGCCATCGTCGCAGGTCTTCGATTCTTGCAATGTCGCTGTGATCCACCGGTACCTTGTCCAAGGTGTACAGGCGCGGCATGGGGATCACATTGCTGCCCCTGGTGTCAGAGATCTTCAATCCTTTGACCATCTTGGAGGTGATCTTCTGATTCACTGCTGTGGCAGTCGTCATGGTGAGATCCTCCACTTTTCCATCCATGCTGAGGCTCTTCAGAAGTTCTGGTGTGCAGAATGAAGCAGACGAACCCATGTCGAGGAATGCGTACGTCACAGCAGATTTTGAACAGTCTTCATTCCAAACCTGCACAGGTAAGATGGCCATCATGGCTGACGAGCTGCCTGCTGTGCCTGTCGAGATCTCCAGCCTCCCACTCTTCACTAGAGTGGATTGCTGGCTCCCGCTGTCAGTACGTGTTGCAGTCCCAGGGGTTTCGTCTTTGTGCATTGCGGTCGGATGAAGTCGCTTGCAAGATTCACAGGTCAGCTTCCTGAAGCAAGTTCTGAACTGATGTCCTTTACGTAAGCAGCCAAAGCACAGCTTATTCTCCAGCACAAATTTCCGCCTCTCCTCGAACTGCAGCTTGCTCAGCTCCAGACAGACGTCGGTGAAGTGTCTTCCTTGGCAGTACAAGCACGTCACGGTACGGCTTCCTTCAGTCACAGTGGTAGCAGACACGGTAAACGTGGCCTTCTTTGTTCTCTCATCCTTCTGTTTTCCGAAGGTTCGGTCTGTCAAAACCTGAACCTCATGATCAACGAATGATACGATGTCGTTGAAAACCACTTTTCTTCCCTCAGTTTCTTTGATCTGATGCGCACGTCTGCGCCATGCATCCTGAAGATGGACAGGAAGCTTCTCAACCACTCTTCTCATCGTTCGGGGATGATCAGTTTCTCTTTCACCAGGTGGGATCTCTTGCATTACATTCAGGCACGACGTCAGAGTAAGTGAGAAGCGATCCAACGCGTCTACATCTCCCGGCTTCACCTGGGGCCAGTCCACCAGCATGTCCACGAACGCCGACGAAATGGACTCCGGATCACCGTAGCGTCTCTCCAACAGTCGTCGCGCCTCCAGGTAACCAGCTTCGTCGGACATATACAGACATCCTCTGATGATTTCCCTCGGCTTTCCGCTGCAGTATTGTTCCAGGTAGAGCAGCTTCTCGGCATCGTTGTCCGTCTTGCTGCCAATTCTGCTTTCGAAGGCACGCAAGAAAGACCTATACTTGGTTATGTCACCCGTGAACACTGGTATATCAGGCGTGGGAAGACCAGTCCTTTGCAACTGCGAAAGGAGTATCTGCGTGGCATCCTGCTGACTCCTGCTCTTGCTGCCATTAGCTTCGTGGGGAACTTGGACAGGAGCTGGCTGGAACCTCGTACTCTCATCGGCCATCGGTTCTTCCGGGACGACTGGAATAGGACCGGGCCTCGAGAGAGGCAGAGTCCCCCTCAACGCAGACACTTCTTGGATTTCAGATGCTGCTGCTCTCTCCGGCTCCACGCGTTGGTCTCTGGTGGGCGGCTGTTCTACCAGTTGGGCCACTCCAGGATTCAGGGCAATTTCACTCTCCAGCAAAACCTGTTCTCTTGCTTCAGACTCGGCAAGTTCAGCTTGAAGCTGTAGCTCGTCCTGGCGCATTTTCATTTCCATGGCTTCCATCTCGAGCTTCTGCTTTTTCTTCAGAAAGGAAGCCCGCGCGATCAGTCCAGCCTTCTTAGCAGATTCTGCAGCACGCAAAGAGGAAACAGAAGCTCGTGAGGCGGAACTGTCCATGGATGCCTGCGAACCGGCTCTCACGAGTGGTCCAGGGGCTGGAGAAGAGTCGTCCTCACGACGAGAAGAGTCTCCAGCATTGGCATCCTCCGGGTGTCCATTCTTCTTTGCATTATCTCTTCGTAGAGCGACAAACGATGCCACATCCACACCTTCATCGTCCAGTAACTCCTTCAAACGGATCATGAGTACCGATTTCGAACCTCTTGTGTCTGCTCCCCGCTGTCTCAGTTCAGACTTCAGCTGCGAGACCTTGAATTCTTCCAGCGGATTCATGACGAAAGGCTAACAGTAGCAAACACGGGTACAATTACAGCTTCGGGTAACAACAACCTCGTGCGTGTCGCTCCAACTGCAACTTCGTCGGCGCGGCTCCAACTTCCAACTTCGTCGGCGCGGCTCCAACTGCGACTTCGTCGGCGCGGCTCCAACTTCCAACTTCGTCGGCGCGGCTCCGACTGCGACTTCGTCGGCGCGGCTCCAACTGCGACTTCGTCGGCGCGGCTCCAACTTCCAACTTCGTCGGTTCGGCTCCAACTTCCAACTTCGCTGGCGCGGCTCCAACTGCGACTTCGTCGGCGCGGCTCCAACTTCCAACTTCGTCGGCGCGGCTCCAACTTCCAACTTCGTCGGCGCGGCTCCAACTTCAACTTCGTCGGTACGGCTCCAACTTCCAACTTCGTCGGCGCGGCTTCAACTTCCAACTTCGTCGGCGCGGCTCCAACTTCCAACTTCGCTGGCGCGGCTCCAACTGCGACTTCGTCGGCGCGGCTCCAACTTCCAACTTGTCGGCGCGGCTCCAACTGCAGCTTCGTCGACGCGGCTCCAACAGCGACCTCGCCGAAGAAGACAGGAGGACCGCAACAGCGGGAATCAAACCACTCGAAGCAGTCCGAAACGCTGAAGAGAAGATACCACTGCCAAATGCCCGGCACGAGATGAGGAGTGGACGCCGCTAACCGGGTAGGCAGGAATGGACTGGATCGGGAACAAATCTGGCTCAACGTTAAACCAACTCGTTCCAGCTCAAATACTCCCCACAGTGGGCCTTATCGACAAGTACCTACGCAGCCGCGTTCATCACTTATATGCTAGTGAGCTACAGTGCAGTCTTATAACATCGATTACCAAACCACGTCAGCATGTACACTAACACTGCAGATATGTGACGTCACACAAAACCCACTAGTCACCAATCGGCTGTCACGTCCCCAACTTGTGCCGCTATAGTTCAATAAATGACGTCACAGCACTGCCGCTATCATTTATGACGTCACCCTTTACTCTACGCCACCAGAAACTCCCGAGTCATTATCACGTCACGTCACGTCACTAGTCCAACTTGACGTTAACTCGACCAGTTAAACCACGCAGCACACGGGTCGGCACTGCAGCGCTTTTCCTACCGTTGTAGGCGATCATGCTCCTGGCTTCACCAGACGCAGCAGTCGTCGGCACGGCTGGACGAACCATTGCAGCAGCTGCTCATCAGGTGCAGCAGTCGCTCCGCCGCCGGTTGGAGATCTGTCGAAACTCAGTAGGCGGAACTATGGTCAAGCGTACCCATTTTCGGGAACGCATTTTCGTTCCCATGTTTGGGAACGATAAACCCAAATATGGGAACGCCATGTAGGCATTATTTAAAACAAGAAAAAGAACCGTTAAATGACGTGCAAAAAATATAAAACGACCGTGAACCGCCTGATATTTGTCTCAATATTGTTGGGAAAGAGTTTGATATTGTAAGGCCCATCGTAGTTTCAAATCGTTCCCCTATTTCTAAAGCAGTCCATCATCCGGGCCGCGAACCCAAATTTGGGAACGCTCTCGTACACTGGCGCTGCAAGCGTTCCTTATTATGGGAACGGCGTACCCAAAATTGGGAACGATTTTACCGACGCCTTTCAGGGGCTCTTTTCATTAACAAGCATCACGTCCAACGCCGCAAATTATTGTTAACGCAACAATCATCAGATGACCTTTCCGGCAAGACCGTCGCATGTTTCGCCCGGTCTTCTGCGCTTTTATTCCCGTCGATCTCGCAGCGGGCACGCCCCCCTCTGCAGGATTACGTAATTCACAACGCTCAGCGATGTTCAACAAGGTCTTCCATACCTATATCCACCGTCCGTGCCGAGGGTGGAGACATGTCAAGCACCTGTCTGTTTATCACCGATAGTTGACGGGTACAAGGAAGTATCCAAAAATGGGAACGCTGAAGATGTTACACCCTCAAAACACCTAGTCCCAATGAAAATCTAGTTTTTTCCTTTCTTAATGAGTGTAAGTGGCAAAAGGCCTGGTAGGATGGGCACGAGGAATGGTCGAAATCAGCATAGAAATTATAAATAAGCCACACAGAGCGACCTATATAAGAGAAATTCCCCCAAAACGATCATGCTTAGAAACACGGAAGACAAAAACCACGCTCATGACGCTCCTTATAAAACAACGCTAAACAGCTAGCATCCAAATAAAATATGTCTTTCCGGGCTGATAAAATACAGCTGAATACTTTTCGACCACTTAAACTGAGTTTACAACAGTAGTTCGGTAAAATCACGCACGTTCTACGCGGTCGTCCGCCTCGACACCAAATGTCAACAATATCTCCTCGGGACTGTCCGCGTGTTCGCTTGCATATGTCAGCATCGGGTGTCGCTAGTATGAAACTTCATAACCAGGCGAAAATTATTATACTTGACCTCAAAATGTAAAAAACGCTTCATTTTCCTTAAAATTGCATGTTAAATATAGTGTAACCCATGTTTTCACCATTCCGTGATTTCAAAAAATCATTAAAAATATCATTCGACGGTCAATTTTCTTGTTCAACGGTCAGATTAAAGATAATTTTATAGAGACTTAGTAGATACTTAAATTAGCGTGCACTTTTTTGAGACGTGATGCACTAATGAGTTTTAGTGGGCGAACGGCCGAAAAATTACCTTCCGTTCTCATAAATGGGAACGCCCGTTCCCATATTTGGGAACTCCGTTCCCAAAAATGGGAACGTTCCTATATTTGGGTACTCATGACCATAGTTCCACCTACTGAACTGTAACCGCGGTACCCGCTCCCATACAAACGGCGCTCAGCCGTAACTGGCCTGTATTTGGTCGTTTCTGTAGAAACAAACAGTACGAAAATTAATGCAACGAAAACAGCAAAACATGCACATAACGCGGGCGACAACAAAAGCAAATAACACAATAAAACTAACGAGACAAATTACGTCACCGTGCGCCAATCCCCTCACATAATCCGAACAGCGCGGCAATTCTCCCGATAATTAACATCTAACTTCAGCTTGCAAATCCGATAGTAAATGGGTTCAGCAATAACATTTCAATGTGCCAGGGACCAATATCATTCGTTACATACCGACAGGTAACGCCTCCTGCGGGACATTCCACGCGGCTCGCTCCTGACACGACGGTCACCATCGAATCATACCTAGAACAGGTCAATAAGTTTTCTCAGGTATCTGCGCCAATAACACTGAACTGAATATCACATATTTCATGCCGACGTAAATAAAAGAACAATATCAATTTCAGGTCTCTCAACTCACCATCAGTTGCGACGGAGCACAGCACACAACGTCACACGCTTATCGCCTCTCGACCAGCAATGGCGCCGCGACCCAGTCGCCGGTCACTGCGACACGCCCCGCGCACGAACACATGACGTGGCAGCTCGAAAGTAAATCGCACAACATCGGGATACTTATAACAGTGTTGGAAATATTGTTGAATAAATAAGCATCCGAAACAATCAACTTTAAGCAATTGCAATTACAGATACATATAAAAACGCTTATGCTATATTGTGTCGGACGGCACTACTTCTCAGGTCACTCGCGGTTAATCATTAGCGGCATCTATCGGCAGTGGTCACATTTACAGGCTCGGGTAGCCGGCCAAGTTGGCGTCGAGCCAGAAAGGCGCACGGTGAACTACGGACAAATCATATTGGAACAAAAGATAAGGGAACGGAAGGAAAAAAGGAAACGATAGAGCGCGGCGACCACACTCACATAGGTACCTAACATTGACATGCCACGTCCAGAGTCGTGGACAGCTAAATACTTCAAATCTCTTCCTTCCCAATCTGACAACATCCCACGTCTCAACTCTCAAATGCACATTGTGTGGAAAGATTTTTCAGGCTGCCCGTCAGTCTCTGTCTAACCGAAACCGTCACATGCACAATGCAGGTAAGATATTTATTTCTATTTCCCTATGGTTAATATGTTATTGATGCATATTATCCATTAAAATAAACATGGTGTAGGGTAAATGGCCAAATCACGAACACTGCCAAAATCCGAGCAGCCAACTTTCAACTGCAATATCTGATATTTAGTGTAAATGGAGTTGGAATATGGCCAAAATTAAATTGACGACTTTTAGGTGAAAGGTGGTGATTTGGGTTAAGGGGCGAGTCAACTACTGGGTTATTTTGCACCCATTCAATGAAACTTCTGCTCAAATTCTACCCATTGAACCTCAATAGCATGATCCACCTGTCCATCACTAGGTATCCTTCCTTATTACATAGAAACTTTGAATGGCATGACAATTTATAATTTTAAATGACAATATTTTTATGTTTCTTCTGTAGGTAGGTAGGTAGGTAGGTACACCAGACTGCTATGGACACTTTTCCAAGTTGGTGGGGCAAAAAACCTAATGTATGTCTTGGTTTGAGTCGTTTGATTGAGTTGATTGATTCCTTTCATTGTCGCGTTTGAGTCGATTGAATCAATTCCCGAAAACTGCTCTGACTTGATTGATTTGATTGGTTTCCCAAATTTGTCGTGATTGAATTGATTGCTATTGATTGAGTTGTATACAACCCTGGTCCCAGTGACCTCAGGTCAGGTCACGAGGTGATCACCGGTCACCGGTACATTAGCAAAAACATTGAAATTACGCTCTGATTTCTATAAACTATAGTTTTTCATCCATTTGATTCAAACTTGCAGGGTGTGCCAAGCTCATAACATGCATAACATGCGCCATGACATGTATCCCGTTTTCTATATTCAAATTCGGTTGACCTGCGATCATCAAGTCACGACTAATTTTAAGGGAAAATTTACAAATGGCTCTAATAGTAAAACTATGAGATATCCACTCCATTTCAACGTTTTTGTGTTGCAAAACAATTTTAACCCGGCACCGCCTGGGCTATTTCCGTACCCACGACAGCCTGGGGGGTCGGATCCGACCCCCCCCTGTTATCTCGAGAACCAATGGTCGCATCGAGCCCCGCGAGGCGGCGTTCGAAAGGTCTCTACGAGACCTTCCAAAAGCACTCTTAAGATTTTAAGATTGAGGTCAACTTTCGGGTCAAGGTCAGGTCAAAGGTCAAATTCTGGGGTTTTGCATGATTAGGCTTACGGACAGCGGAATCGATAGCTGCTGCTCAAAACTCACCAAAAATTACCTCAAAGACCTAGTGAAGGTACCATGTGCGTATAGGGGTCATACTAAGTACGGGTCAAGGTCAGGTCAGGTCACGAAAGGTCACGGTTTTCACTTTCTACTACATGGGCGTGCGACACATGTTTTATGGCTTATTTTTCACGCCAAATCCGATGGTAATGGTTATATGTGACCCCAATTCACTGTGCTGGTGATAAGTGTGCATTGAAAGCATAAAAGATCGTTTATACCATACATAACTAAACGAGGGCTAAGAAAATAGGTCAATTTTTCAGCTTTTTATTTTTGACATAAAAATGCACTTTTCTAGACGAGCTTTGTCCCAGGAATCTAGTGGTGCCATTTGTTTTCACATGTGATGTTCAGAAGTGCCTCTAATTCACGAAAATTCTTATGACGTCACCATGCCCTATGCATGTTGGAGCTATTTTTTACAATTTGGGGGTCAAAAATCAAGATAGAAAGTTAAAGTTTGGGACATCTAATGTTTTAATAGATCTCTATAACATATATTCCGTTTTTTTAAATTCTCAAAATTTTGGATTTTATTTGCTGTTTTCCAAAAAAAAAAAAATAGTTATTTGAATTTTAATGGGTGAAAAACGCATTTTATGGAAAATCTGAGATAGCCATTATAAAGAACTCGTTAAGCTGCGTCTGTTCATGTCCTTAATTTGCAATTTGCTCTAAGCCCTGATTTTTGGCGATTTTTTTAAACATTTACCACTTTTTGACTAAAAATGCCATTTAGTTACATCACTAAAATCGATATATCTAAAAAAAAATTGAAAATTTTTTCTTAAAAATTGCATAGAAGACGTCAAACACTATGCAACAGTCATTTTGTTCCTGAGTAACGACCGATTTTTTTGAACTCATTGGGTGTCATTATAACCGAAATGGGCATTTGTTTTGATCTGAAAATGCTTTTCCGGTTTTCAGAGACGATTTTCGATTTTTGGCCCCGAAATTCGGTTTTTGGCCCACCGTGTCCGGTGTAATTGAATAATCGACTCATGGTAACTTTCATCGCCTTTCCTATGCCACAAGCTTTCGAATGATATCCGATTTTGCATATTTGCGTGTAAAAATAACGTCATAAATCTATGTTAAAGTAAGAAAATGTTGAAACTTCGTTAAAATTTGACATTTTTTTCGATTTCATTTCAAAATAGAGAAATGAAATCGATCAGAAGAATGAGGTCACCACTAAACGTGTGGTACCTCGATGACGGAACCATCGGAGGTCCGGCCGACCTCGTCACCGCTGACCTAGCAGTCCTGGCGACAGCTCTGCCAACCATTGGCCTGCAGCTGAACGCCAGCAAGTGTGATGTCACATTTGCCGGTCCAGCGCCGCCATCATCACTCTCGGAATCACTACGTGCCACACTCCCAGGGCTGAAGGAGACTCCAGCTAGGGATCTCTCTCTCCTGGGATCTCCATTGACCGATGCTGCGCTGCCCACCGCTACCACCAAGACTGCAGCCGTCATAGACCGGATGTGCGCCCGCATCAGCCATCTCGACGCTCACACCGGTCTTTTCCTTTTGACACACTACACGGCAGCCCCCCGGCTAACCTACCTTCTGCGATCGGCGCCGCTGTACCGCGAGCCGGGACCACTGCTGGCTGTAGACGAGACGGTACGGGTCACGCTTGCCACCGTCACCAACGTCACCATCGATGACGGAGCGTGGGAACAGGCGACCCTGCCACTGCGTTTCGGAGGACTTGGAGTTCGGTCAGTCACGGCATTAGCCCTGCCGTGTCACGTGGCATCACTCCATGCTTGCTTGTCACTGGCGCAGGAGATCCTCCACGCCACCGAGCCTCGCCAGCCTACTCGAGCACTCCAGCGAGTCAAGGCCGATGCCGTCGCGAAGCTCGGCGAGGCCGCTCACCTTGTGCCCATATCAGAAGAGAAAAAACAGCGCGCTTGGGATGATGCATTCTCCAAGATGGCACAGAAGCGTCTGCTGGACGGGGCAAACCAGGTGGTCCGGGCACGTCTCCTTGCTGCCGCAGAGCCCCACACCGCTGCCTGGGCGCAGGCCCTCCCCGTCACCAGTCTAGGGCTCCACCTGGATAACGAAACTGTCCGGGTTGCGGTGGCGCTGCGTCTTGGGGGATCAGTATGCGAGCCACATAACTGTCAGCTCTGCCATCGCCCTGTTGACCAACTGGGACACCACGGTCTCTCCTGTGCCAAGAGTGCTGGCCGCCACGCACGTCACGCTAACCTTAATGACGTGCTACGGCGAGCACTCAGCAGCGCAGGACTTGAGAGTGTGCTGGAGCCCACCGGCCTTGACAGAGGAGATGGCCGACGTCCCGATGGGATTACACTCTTCCCTTTCAGCCGGGGAATGAGCCTCGTATGGGACGCTACCTGCTGCGACACTTACTCATCAACGGCCATCATCAGCTCCGCCTTGAATCCTGGGAGCGCCGCCCGCTGTGCGGAAGAGCGCAAGCGCACCCGATATGCAGCTCTCTGTGAGCGATACGTCTTCGTCCCTTTTGCGGTCGAAACGTCTGGTGTGCTGGGTCCGGCTGCAGCCGGTCTCCTGAAGGAGCTTGGCCGTCGACTGACAGCCCGCACCGGCGACAAGCGCGAAACAGTCTGGCTCTCACAAAGAGTCTCCATCGCCGTGGCCAGAGGTAACGCTGCCTCTGTGCTGGCCACAGCCAGGCCAGCAGTGGGCACCAGACCGGGACCGTCGCCGCCGCCATCGTCCGGACTGACCCCGACCAGGATCCCTCAGTCACTCCAGGCACCGGAAGAAGAGCCAGTTGCGGGGCCGCCACTCGATTCAGAGGCTGATCCGCCGACACACCCACCACCACCGACCCCTGCGGACGGCTTTCGTGAGGAGCGACGCGTGACACGCTCTCGGTCCTCCTCTCTGTGCTGCCCCGGAGCATGCGCATGTCCCACTTTCACAAGTGGGTCCAGGGCTTGAACGCCCCGAGACATGCCTATTTTTATAGTTGCTGCGATGTTTAAAAATACCGCTACTGTTGTCCGTTTGCGATAAAATCCTGTGCCAATGCTGTGTGCTTGGTTCTGTTCCCGGTGAAATATATAACTTGTGATTTGTCAAAAAAAAAAAATAGAGACAAAACTAAAGACCCTGGGGCATTCCACGATAGATCGACCAAAAAAACTTAAAATTTACATCCGCATATTTTATTTTTTGCTTAAAATTGGTCTAATGGGTTGTGATGGGCGGGGAACCCAGCTGTGGCAAGGATTTTTTTCTTCGAACAACGGTTTCCGAGATATAGCCTCGGGCAGTTCCTGGAGGTCACGCTGCAACCCTATGTTTGGCGGCTTATAACTCAGAAACTATTGGTTTTCCATGGTAAAAACTTGATATGGTTCAACTCGCAATCAACCAACAAACGTTTTGGCTATCTCGGATTTTCGAATTTTGAAAATTTTGATCACGTGACATCTTGACCTTTTTTTCGAAGAGTGGCCTTGATATTTTCCCAACTGATTGTCACAATTTTGTCTGATGACGATTAAAGCCTTACCAATTGTCATTCATATGCGATAATCAAAA